GAAAGAAAGAAAGAAAGAAAGAAAGAAAGAAAGAAAGAAAGAAAGAAAGAAAGAAAGAAAGAAAGAAAGAAAGAAGGAAGGAAGGAAGGAAGGAAGGAAGGAAGGAAGGAAGGAAGGAAGGAAGGAAGGAAGGAAGGAAGGAAGGGCATCTCTTCACATGCCAGTTTAAAAGCTGAACTTTTTCCTGTTGTCCAAAAAGACCTTGTTTAACTTCTATTTATTCAGTTGCTAATAAACCTGTAGATTTTCAAATAAGAGATATTTAGAGGCTGATACCAATATAAACAGAGGATAGCACTTCCATGACCCAGGAATTTGCTGGGTTGAACCATAACAAGCAATGTGGGTGTCAAGAAGCCATCAAGTCTTCTATTGTTCATTTAATTCTCCGCTCTCTTTGTCCTTCATTCTTCTCCTTGTGTCATGACAAGCAAGTTGACAGGTGCGTTGCGCAGCGGGTGGAAGAAGTGAACAGATGGAACAGAAGGAAGCATGGAAAAATATGGAGAGTAACTTTCCAATTGCAGCCTACCCAGGAACTGGGTTTCTCTGTACGTGCATACAAAAACCAAAACCAAGCAACTTGAGATACTTCCTGAAAGAAAAGAGGCATATTTCCAGCTAACTCTAAGCTTACATAAATCTGGAGCTCTCAGATAGGAAATTGCTTTTCTTAATATATTTGAGTTTGGATTGCATACAAAACACAATTTTATTCATAAATATCTTCATTTTCTTTACAATCATGTTTTTTCACATCTGAACTTTGAGCCAAAATTAGAAGTTACAACAGGTCTGATTTATACCTTGTACTAAACTCATATCAATCATAATTTGCAAATTATATTGACTGGATTCATATATGTACTAAGCTATAACGGAGTTCGTTAGGCTGCTGGTGAGCACCAGGTCCAACTGAAATATGACCTCATCTATTTACAGTGCGGGGATGGTTGAACAGGTGAATCTGGTGCATATTACTGACACATGGTTAAGTGAAGTTGGAGATCTAGTCCATCAGCAGCCTTTCCTGAGCTCCTAGATCTTTTGAAGGGCTGATGGGAGAGCTGCCCCAGCTTTGTAGTGCCGAGGGGCTTCAATTCAGTGCCATGTCCAAATGTGCTGAAGATTTCATGACAAAACTAGCTTGTCCTGGAATAGCTCACCCCCCAACGGATATAGGTCATCACATAGACCTGATGTTCATCTCAAAGTACAGGGCATGTGATCTGAATATAGAGGACATAATCATCAATCCTTTGACATGGCAAGATCACTTCTTGGTCAAGCCGCACATTATTTGCATCCCTGACTCCTTCAAAGATAGAAGACCACTTTTTCTGCTCAAAGTACCTAATAGATTTGGATGATTGGATTTTTCCAGTAACCTTTTGTGGAAATTAGAAAAGACAGCATTCTTGCTGCCACTGTGACACATATGTTAGATTATTTACTGATAACATTGCTCATATTCATTCACAATTGGGTGCCACGTGGGCAGGATCATGCATGACAACTGAGGTAATGTGATGTAATATTATCTGGGATTCAATGGCCTTCTGGAATCTGAGAAAATCAACAGCAGCCTATGTACAGTAGTGTAAGTTTCATTGTTTATCGGCTAGGACAAAGTAAATTTAATCTCTTAGAAACTGCTTAGGATAATGGCTGTTGTCTTGTTGAGAGTTGCAGGCATGAAATGGTGCCATTGATCCTTCTCAAGCTTCACTTCCAAGTATTTGTCATGAGCCATGGAGATGAAACCAAATAAAGAAAAGCTACCAAATTCTCTTCCCCCTTGGCTGCACTCTCTAGCCATTGGCATTGAAGAGCCACGTGCAGTTCCAAGGATTGTATTTAATGTCATATCTTGGCCCAAGCTAAAACCCATCTGGATAAGTTATTTCTAAATTATCTAATAGAGATTCTTGAGGGTTTCTAGGTTCTGAGAGAAAGATTGGTTTGCTATCAAAGTTCCAATTGTGTAGGGAGTCAAATCCACTGAACACCCTGGCAACATTTGCCCAATCCATTCAGCCAGCTTTCTCCAGCTTGGGCATCAGGATCCTCATTCGGCCCGTTTATGCACATTGGATGTTAAATTTGCTGGTCAAAGAGGCCCACCCCTGGATAGAAGGAAGCTGTCCCGCAGGGGGCCAAATGGAGCTCAGCAGGTTGCACACCTCCCTCAGGCTCATCCTCCAGTGACACAGAATAGGCGATTGTCTGTTTGATGGAAAATACCATCTTCTGGACAACTTTAGAACGGTAAAATTCCCAGGGTCACTTGGGGGCATTCCAACCAGCATATCGATTGAATCCCCAGATCTTCCAGAGAAGGAAGATGAACCACTAAAACTCATGAGGAAGAAAGAGGTGACCACTGTGTCACTGAACAAAAAACAGGCGTTCCACAACCATATTCCTGTTTTCACCAGTTTATTTGACACATTTGTATAAGGGGAGGGAAGCATGAAGGAAAACAATTCCCATCCATCCCACCAAGAATCTTAAGAAAGTCTCCAATTCCAAGCAACTCAGCAAAGCTAACGTCCAGTCCAGCAGGCAAACTACAGACAGGTGGTGCAAAAGGTGGAATATAACTACTGGCCTCGCTACCCGTTTCCCTGTCAATCACTGTCTTTAGGTTGGAAATCTCGTGGCTACCCTATTGATTGGGATGGAGGAGCATCCATGGCTCCATTTCAAAAAGCATTTCTCCTTCCACTTACAGCGGCTGCCAGATGGACCTTCTAACATGTGCTAGCAAAAAAATTGCTAAAATATCATCAGAGAGATTTCTTTATCATCCTTTGGTCAGTAATACCTCCCTACGCATACACATCTTATTTTTCTTTTTCTTTTTCTCTTTACTACCGATAATCCATTTAGTTAAAAACAGAACAGAAACACACTATTCTACAAAGTAAAAAAAAATCTTCTATACTCCTTCACTCTCAAAAATTTTGAGAAAATGCCCTGGGTCACTTACTCCCATATTCCAGGATGGTGATTATTTTAAACAGTAAACTAAAATTTCAAAGCACAATTTCTTTTTTTATATAATTTGCTCTATCTCTTACTTCTATTGGTCTTTCTCCTTTTTCCCTTTCAAGGTCAAAAAAATATGTATGTAAGCGAATAGCCAATATGTCCGTACTTTTTAAAATGTTCCTATTTGCTCCTTTGGAATATTGACATAGAAGAGGGAAAAGATGCGCACAAACCTTCTAGTTGGGGATATCAGGATCCCTGCTGATATCATTTTATTTATACATTTAACAACCTTATTGGACCTCTTAATGTTGCAGGTTAACCCTTTCATGATTGCCGAATGTCAAAAAGCCTACATTACACTAGGAAGTCTTTACTGAAAACTGGATAGTATTTTGAGATTCTGGCATAAATTTAAAAAAACAGTGTGCAAAACATTAGCAAATGTATTTTCAAAACAACCAGGGGGTCTGAGGGAATAAAGGCTTGGTGGGATGACATGTAGAAGTTTGAGAAGATCCTGTCATAATCTGCTTGCTAATGTAAATGGAATTTTTGCAATGAGGGAAACACATCACGTGGATTCATATTCCAGTCCCACAAAGTACAAAACCTGAAAAGCAATGATATAATGGAAACAAAGGCTCATGGATGGAAGCAGCCTAGATGCTGAAGCCATCCTACAGATGGTGGTTCATTTCTATTATAGGGAGAGGGATACTACAGTAATAGTTTTAATTTTAATTCGCTTGGAGCATCAAACTCCTCCAGAAGTCCATTTCTTCTTCTGACAGGACCCCGCTGGCTCGCTGTTTCCATCCATCAAATTCTGACACGGTCTTCTTCTTACTTAGCCTAGCAATTACAATACAAACTAAAAACCCAATCAAACATCAGATTGGACAGTTGCTTCCTAGGCCAAGGAGATGCATCAGTTCGCTGCCTTGACCATACTTTAGGCATTATACTGGCTCTTCTTAAACAAGCAGCTCATTTTTAAAACACTGCATATATTCGGCAGTGATCTTATCCGCCCAAAATCTCACACATATTTCAAATGGTTACAACATTGCTCTAAGATCAGAAGGAAGTTATATGCTTTGGGGAGTCTGGCAACACTCAGGCATACCCTACTAAGGTTCCCCAAACACCTACTGAATTTCATTTGGATCCTGATTCAACTTGAGCTAAGATAGCTGAGATTCACGATATCTCAGAAAAAGCCCTCAACTTTGCTGTGGCAGCTCCCATCTTCCTACTAGAGGAGTCCCTTCTCTTCCAACAACAGCGTGGTCAGGTTTCACTGTGTTCCTTCAGCGACACCAGCTGTTCCCTTCTGTGGAAAGCTATCCTTCTATGACTCAGGAGGACAGGAGGAGAATTAGCTTCTCAAAGCAATTTTGAAGTCAACCCCGACAGCTGGCGAAGAATGGCTGGGAGCTTTATTTCCCTGCCACCACCATCTCCGCTGATTCTCCAGTAGGTTGCTAGCCTCGATGGCTGATATGGATGGAAGTGAGGTGAGTAACGCAGCAAGATTGCAAAGGCTCCGCCGGCTTCAATGGGATGACCTCTGGCCCCAGGCAGATTGCATTTGAGCCGGCTCGAAACAGGCTGGACAGGGATGCTCTTGGCTTGATTGAACTCCTGAGCCCCTCGGGGCAGAGATACCCCCAGATTTGGGGGGGGGGAGAGCACAAAATGAAAGGATACCCCACACTTGGGGGAGGGTGCTGACGCAGCGTTGTGGCTGTGAAGCCGCATGCAGGAGGGTAGCTCATGCAAGGCAGTGGCCCAGGCTCTTGAAGCACCTGTGGAACAAGAAGTGGGTTAATTCTAGCATGCCTGCTGTGAAAACCCTCTTGACACCAGGGAGAAATCTAGTGACCTCCTGATGTTTTCGTGTCCGGTTCTTGACAGCCCCAGGCAGCAGAAATAATGGCAGGGCTTGTTCAAAACATCTGGAGAAATAAGATGATCGGCCTTGGTCCTATAGGATCTCTTCTACAACAATGCAGGCTGTTTGCCACCAGCAGCACTTCTGCCTCATTTTCCTCTTCCAGGGTAGATGTAGAGAAGGCATCATTCAGGTTGATAGTGGCAACTTGGCAAAGCAGACCCCAACATGCCACATTGATGGATCTACAGAGGTCATATGGTCACACCACACCCAGAACAACTAATTGGCCAATCATTATAAACAGCCTATGGAATTTGTATGTGTAAGGATTGCTTAGGTAATCCAGAAGCCTGGATGAAGTTGGTCAGAAAGTAAACTTGTTTTGTAAAGACAGACATATTAATTGTGATAGCCCAAAAGCTGCACGTGAGCATTTTTCTGCTGCTACGTAAACGCTTCAGTGTGCAGTCCTGAAAACAGCAATTGGCCGCCTTACTCTAAGCTGGGTAATAATTCAGTAAAAAAAGAGGATTCAAAGAAACCTAAGCTGATGTTAAACTTATATTTTTCTTTAGTGAACCCACCTCTGGGGGGGGTCACCATTTTCCACGCTGTCTTCCAGATGTTGCCTCTCCAATTTCTTCACCCTCTGCACCTGGTCCCATCTTGGTGATATGGCGTAAAAAGGATGTGGCATTGATTGCTCGCTGAAAAAATAAAAATGGGAATCAGACATCCCAGAAGGACAGATAAAATTGTCTTGACTGATTTTAGACATCAGTCAGAAGGACAGATAAAATTGTCTTGACTGATTTTATTTTTTGCATAGTTTGAAAAATTTATCAGGTAAAAATTATCAATGGAACTATTAAGGTATCCATCGGTGGGTTACTGCTGATAAGCTCAGCTGTGTAGGTGGCTGTAAAGCTGACAATAATATTGAGAATTATACAAAATGATATCGTATTTCCTTTGATTAAAGAATACAAATCGGCAGATAATCAAACAAGACAAAGCTGGAAGGACTTGTATACAGAATTTCAGCAAACCTGTCACCATGAAGTATTAGTTTACCTGTTTGCTTGCTGAAAAAATTCAGAGTGATTTCCTCTCTAAAATATTTAACTTAACTTTTTGTAAGCATCACCCTGAGTTCCAAAGTAAAAGGAAGGTTGATATTGTTTATTTTTATTTAATTCTAATTCTAGTCAATCTAATAATCATAATAAGTTGGGTGGATTACAAGATACCCTAACAAAGTAAAAACCTAGAGATGAAAGTGGTAATCAATAAACAGAAAATAATATATATATGCAAAAATTAGGTTTAATTATAGCCCATCTTTCCCAGTTTTCATGAAGAGCAGAACAATTTTGATCAAAAGGAAAGTTTTATTTGCTTTCTCAATTTGCCATCTAAAATGTAGACTCACCCATACTTAAAACAGAGCCAAGCTGAATGCTGCCAAATCTGTATTCTTTATCAAAGGTGACAAGAAATGGGAACACAGAGGAGCAAGGGGGAGACTTCACTTTTTTAACTTTTTAAAAAGTTGAGAGAGGAAGCTTGATGCCCGTAGGAGCCATAGAATGACAGCAAATCACACAAAGATGGAGTTTGAATACTGTAGAGTTATCAAGAGTACAGCGTTCTTCACAGGAATCTTGACAAGAAACACACCTGTCAAGAAGCAGAAATCTGCTAGCATTAACCAATTTAATTAAAAGGTACTACCAGGTTTCTGAGCTGCAGCTCCATCCTGTCAAGAAGGTGAGAACTAAGCTGCTAAATTTTGTGGCAGGATCTTTTTCTGTTTTTCTACTCTTAACGAGGTGTCTCTAAAAAGATATAATTCAACTTATCCCGGCCAGAGGATAGAAGTAGGAAAATTCATCACAGCTATCGAAATCCAGTATCCCTCTCTTTGAAATTAAAAAGGGAGCGCAAAAGGAATGCAGAACCATCCTTATCTTAAGTTGACCTTCAACTTTTGACCTTACCTTCCACTGACTGCGAGCAAAGTTCTTCTGAATCTGCTCACACACAGATCCATGAATATCCTTCTCCAGAGCTGTATCCCCAGAGATCCTGAAGGGTATAAAAGAGAGGGAAGTGTTTCCTGAATTGTGCGCGATCTATTTCCTTATACACAATAATTCTTGTTTTGCTCTGGGCTTCAATCAGACTATCTGGTCTTTGAAGGGGAAAGGTGGCTTGCTGACTTTGCTACTCACTGTCATAGAAACTTCTCAGGACTGTTTTTTATATATCCAACTAAAGTCAAACCACTTTAAGAGTATGATGGTAGTGGAAGTAGTGGGTGCATATAATTTATCTTATTTATTTTTTGTGCAGAGTGGTATAAGGGAATATTTGTCTCTCCAGCATCTACAGTAGCTTAAGACAGGGCAAGATTCTATAGAATAGAACTAGAACTAGAACTAGAACAGGAACAGAACAGAACAGAATAGAACTAGAACTAGAACAGAACAGAACAGAACAGAACAGAACAGAATAGAAATAGAAATAGAAATAGAAATAGAAATAGAAATAGAAATAG